TTGCGAGGGGGTGGTGCTCATTCCCCACCACCTGCTCCAACCAGGAATTTGTGCCCATTCCCAGCCATCCAGGGTGGGATCCAGCTCCATTCCCAGCTCCCTGTGGAGCACTGCCGGAGCCTCGGGAAGATCCTTGGCTCTTCCTCAGCTGAATTCCCAACCCGGACTCACTGAAACCCCACTCTTATCCCGAGAGATTTCCTCGGCAGATCCCAGAGCACGAGGTGAGAGCTGGTCAAGCATTCCCAAGTCAAGGAAATCCCAGCTGGAAAGAGCATTTTTGTGGGAAAAAAACATCACAGGCAACACCTCCATGGGAAGGGGAGGCTGGTGGGAGCATCTGGATGCTCCAGGGCCATCCATGGATTTGGGATGCAAGGCCCAGGCAAGGCCTGGAAGTGTTTGGAGGCACCTGAGAAGCTTTTTCCAGACCTGGAAAAGTCCCACAGTGGTTCATGGGAATCTCCTAAGGTTTAACAAGAGCAGGAGGGGGCAAACAATCCCTGGGATGGATCCAGGCTGGGATGAGCACATGGAGCAGCTATGGGAGAAGGATCTGGGGGTGCTGGTGGGGGAGAGCTGGACCTGGAAACCTCCAGATCCCATGGCTGATCCCAGAGCAGGAAAATGGGGAATTTTGCCCTCAGGAGCAATTTTGCCCTGCTGGAGCCAGTCCAGAGGAGGCTCCAGGATGATCCAAGGAAAGGCTGGGAATGTTGGGAATGTCCAGCCTGGAGAAGAGAGAAGCTTTGGGTTGACCCAGTTTTGAACTTCCAGGACCTGAAGGAGCTGACAAAAAAGATGGAAAAAATTTCTTCAGAAGGGCCTGGAGTGACAGGACACAGGGACAGGGAATGGCTCCACAGTTCCAGAGGGGAAATTGAAATGAGTTATTGGGAAGGAATTCCTGGCTGTGAGGAAGGCCCTGGTACAACATTCCCAGAGAAGCTGTGGCTGTCCCTGGATCCCTGGGAATGTCCAAGGCCAGGTTGGGCATTCGGGCTTGGAGCCACCTGGGGCAGTGGGATCTGTTCCCTGCCCATGGAATTCTCACCCAAAGCATCCCGGGATTCCAAGGCTGAGGAATATTTAACAGCCTGTCAGGCTCAGCTTCAGGCTCCCAGCCCCTGGATGAGAATTCCTTATCCCAGGCCGAAGGGCACTGACAACATTCCAAGCCCGACAGCATTCCCTGGATTCGGTTTTGGTGTATGCCACTAATCCCAAGGGAATTTGGGGGGGAGAGGGTGAACACCCCCAAACTGAGCCTGGGGGACTTTAGAAATGCTCTGGGAGCAGCCACAGGAGCTCCTGCACAGAGAAATAAAACCAGGAATATCTCCCCATCCCGAAGGTGCCGATTCTCCTGGAAAGGCACAAGGACAGGGAAGATCCTCGCTGGAGTCACAGCTTTTCCCGAGCTCTGGATTGGAAGTGGCAGCTCTGAAACGCAGCTGGTGGGAAGAGGGAAATTGGGCTAATTGGGAAAGGGCAATTAGCACAGCGAGGGGGATTTTCCAAAGGGGCTGCGTGGCCTGGATTTACCCGGAGAGGCTCCGTGGGAACGTGGGGTTTGTGGAAATGGGAGGGAAAACTTCCAGAAAAGCCAAATGCCGGATTTGATGGGAAAAGCGTTAATAGGAAAGGACGGCGGGAATGCGGGATGGATTTGGGGCATCTGCAGGTGAATTAAAGCAGGATTTCATCCCTGCTTCTCCTTTTCCCTCATTCCCCCTGGACACAATTCCCACCAAATTCCTCCTTCCATTAAAAAGAAACATGAGCAGGTGTCTCCCCCCACCCTGGGAAAAGCCTCACACTGTGTTTTCCCTCTAAAAACAAGGAAAAATTCCAGGTTGGAAAAGGATCCACCCAAGGGGCTCCCTGTCAGCTGGGAAAATCCCTGCCAGAAAAACCTCGGAGGGAATGGAGAGGGGATAGAATTCCAGGTAAAATCCCAACTGCAAAGGGCTTTTTCCAAGCTGAGTTTTTCAGGAATATCTCCAAGGACAGCTCCCTGCAAAGCCCAGGAGCTTCAAACACTTGAATTTTCCCCTTATTTTTTCCCCCGGCTGGGGGTGGGAAGCAGAAGCCAAAGCAAATCCCACCGGGATAAAGCCACTGGAAATCTCCGGGAACGAGACACTTTTATCCCTCCCACGGCCCTAAAACAGCTCCCCCGAGGAGCCCTTTATGGGGCCGTACCAGCCCTGATCCCAGAACCCATGGATCGGGGGGAAAGGGCGCTTTTCCAGCTTTTCCAGTCCCTTTTCCAGGCACTCCTCTCCTTTTCCATGGTCCAGCGCTGCCTCCTCCGCGTGGCCTCGTTTTTCCCTCCTGACGGCTCCTTAACCCACTTAGCCCCGGCCGCGGCGGCTTTTTTGGCCAAAGGAAGAGGTTGAGCCGGGGACAAAGGGGAAAATAAAAAGCTGGAATACCCGGGGTGATGCTCCCGGAGGGCTGGAAAACACCTCGGGAATGATCCCGGTACCGCCCGGCTCCGTTCGGGGTCACAAAAGGGATTTCCTGACCGGGTGGGGGATGCAGAGCAGGGCTGGAAACGCCCCCCACCCCCAAAAAATAACTTCCCACGGATGGTTTGGGGGGTGGGAAGTGATTCCAGCCGAGATTCCTGGGGATCCTCCGGGATGCGGATGAGGAGGTGGATGAGGGGACAATAAAAACAGGCAAAATTCCCCCCCAAAAATAAGAGGGTTTTGGGGACACACGGCAAATGTAGGGATGAACAGCGGGAATTGGGGACGTGCCCAGCTGGATCTTGCCGGGGTCTGGATCCCTTGGATTCCTCTCCAGCCGGGATCGCGGAGGGGAGGGCACGGCACGGCGGCGGCTCCAGCCAAGGATGCCGTCAGCCAGGAAAAAGCCATCTGCCCTCGGAAATTCGGGAATGGCGAGCGCTCTGCCCCCCGAAATCCGGGAACAACGCTCTGCCCCCCGAAATTCGGGAGCAGCTCAGGCCCAGCTGCCCCGAGCAAAGGGAGGCGCCCCCAAACCGGGATTTGGCCGGGATTTGTGGCTGGCTGAGGGACAAACAGAGCTCGGGCTGGGATTTTTGGGACAGCTGAGGGTGGGAGGGGATCACAGAATTCCAGGGTGGTTTGGGTTGGAACCCCAAAATGACCACAGGGACGGGAGACGCTGAACACGGCGGATCCTCGGGATGCAGCGAAGTTCCAGAGGGGTTTAGGAGCCCAAATCCAGCTGGTGGATGCCCAAACCCAAACAATTCCCGACACTGGATCCATCACTTCCTAACCCCCAACCCCTCCGGGTTCTCCGAGCTCCTCCAGCCCTTCCACAAACCAACTTTGATCCCTTTTTTCACCCCACAAAATAAAAACCCCCTCACAAGCAGAGATTTCCCCGCAGCCGCTCTCAGGAAATCAACAGCACGAGAGCAGCCGCCCGATCTGCGGCGAGAAAAAGCAGGAGCGAGGCAGGAAAAATGATCCCTGCGCCAGTGACAGACAGCTGGAGCTACGGGAAAGCCGGGGGGATGCGTTGTTCCTTGGAAATTGTCTATCCATGACCTTAAAACGGCGGCGGAGGAGAGCGGGGAGGGAAGGGAGGGGAGGCAGCCGGGGCTGGGTTTGGCACAAGTTCCCCCCTTTTCCCGAGCAGGTTTTATTCGCGATGCTGGGATCGTGGGATGCTCGGGATGCTCGGGAAGGGGGCTCGGAGCAGCAGCCGCAGCCCGGCAGGACCCAAACCCCACCGCGAAAGGAGAAGAGGGATTCAGGGAATTCTCTGCCCGAGCCAGATCCCGGCTGGGCTCGGGCTCTGCCGTGCCCGGGGGATGGATCGGGAGCAGGCGGGGAAGAATCGGCTCCTTTGTGTGGAGCTGGCCCCGCGCAGCCCCGCAGAGCCGCGGCTCCCCCTCCCCGCGCCCTGCAGCGCCTGCCGGCGCTTCCCGGAGAGCAAAAAGTCCATTAAAAAATCCAAAAAAATAAATTAAATGGGAGATGCGGAGCAGGCTCCGCTCGTGCCTCCATCTCCCTGCGCCTGGAAAAGCTCCCGGTTTCCTTGGGCTGGGGAAGGAGCGGCCACCTGAGACCCCCCGAGGGGGATTTGGGGGAAAAAAAGGAGGGAATTCGCCTCAAATGGACACGGAATGGAATTCCACGGGTGGGCCTGAGGCTGCGGGATGCGAGGAGGGGAAAGTTTCCTTCCCCGGGCGGTTTCCCCTCCCTGGAGCCCCCGGTTTGGGGCTGGAGTGGGGAGCGGAGTCCCGGGGATTTTGGGAGCTCGGGAGCTGCAATCCCCCAGGACAGCGGGAATTTGGGGGATGCTGCTCCTTGCTCGGGGTTTGGGGATCCCAAAGGGGGCAGGAGGGGCTGCGATCCCCCAAAAATTGAGCTCGCGGGGGTCCTCAAAGCACACCCTCCCCTCCTCCCCCGTCTGGAGCAGGGCTGGGATGCGCAGCCGGAGCTCGGGAAAAGGGGACACGGGGGTGACCCCATGGATGAGACCCCCCCGGTCTCCTGCACCCCATTAATGGTGCCCCATAAACAGCTCCCACCCCGGTGCCCCGTTCATGGTTTAAAACCAGTGCCCGGTCAGGGGGTGCCCCACTAAAATCCCCTCCTTAGGGGGTGCCCCATTAACCGATCCCACACCAGTACCGGGATATGGGGTGCCCCATTAACCGATCCCACACCAGTTGCCGATTATGGGGTGCCCCATTAACCGATCCCACACCAGTTGCCGGTTATGGGGTGCCCCATTAACCGATCCCACACCAGTTGCCGGTTATGGGGTGCCCCACTAACACCTCCAGACCTCGTCCCCCAGTACCAAACTGCAATTCCCCACTCCAAACCCCTTCTCCTCTCCATAGGTGCCCCCCCACGTCATCACCCCAAACCCCAGGGCGGGGGCGCCGAGCCCCGAGCCCACCCCGTGACCGGAGGGGTGCGGGGGTCACCCCATCCCTCCCGCAGTCCGGGGGTGTCCCTGTCCCCTCGGGGGGTGCCACTCACCCAGCGCCAGGTGCCGCAGGTGCCAGAGCAGGAGGCAGAGGGGCAGGGGGCTCATGGCGCGCATGGTGCCCGCGGGGGGGGCTCAGCGGGGCCCCCGCGCCGGGGGCCGGGCGGGCATCGCGCCGGGCACGGGGAGGGGGCTTGGCCCGGTCCGGTCCGGGAGAGGAGGGGTCGGGGGCGCTCGGCCGGGTTCGGGAGGGGAGGGGGCTCGGTCCGGTCCGGGAGGGTCCAGGAGAGAAGGAGAGGGGGCTCGGGCCGGTCCGGTCCGGGAGGGGCTCGGGCCGGTTCGGCGCTGCCCCCCCGGTGCAGCAGCAGCTCCGGCGCCGCCGCTGCCGCCCTTAAGCCGATTTGGAGCAGCCGGAGCCGAGCGGGGCTGGAGCGGCCGCCCCCGGCCCCCCCCGGGCTGAGCCCGCCCCCGGTCCGGCCCCCGGGAGGGGCTGAGGGGGGCGGGGAGCCAGGGAGGATTGGGGGGGATGGAGCGGGGGGGGA